AAAAATTTTTCCCTTTCTGTTGGTTGCTGATTCACTCTAATGATTGTTTCTTTTGCTGTGCAGAAGCTGTGGAGTTTGATTGGTCCCATTTGTCTATTTTGGCTTTTGTTGCCAATGCTTTTGGTGTTTTCATCATAAACTCCTTGCCTATGCCTATATCCTGAATGGCTTTGCCTAGGTTTTTTTCCTAGGGTTTTTATTGTGTTAGGTCTTATCTTTAAGTCTTTAATCCATCTGGAATTAATTTTAGTGTAAGGTGTCGGGAAGGGGTCCAGTTTCTGCTTTTTGCACACTGCTAGCCAGTTTTCCCAACACCATTGATGAAACAGGGAATCCTTTCCCCATTGCTTGTTTTTGTCAGGCTTCTCAAATATCAGATGGTTGTAGAGGTACGATGTTGCCTCCGAGGCCTCTGTTCCATTCCATTGGTCTATATGTCTGTTTTGTTATTAGTACCTTGTTGTTTCAATTACTGTGGCCTTGTACTATAGTTTGAAGTCCGGTAGTGTGATGCCTCCAGCTTTGTTCTTTTTGCTTAGGATTGTCTTGGCTATGTGGGCACTCTTTTGGTTCCAAATAGAGGTTTAAGTTGGTTTTTTCCAGATCTGTGAAGAAGGTCACTGGTAGCTTGATGGGGATAGCATTAAATCTATAAATTAGTTTTGGCAGTATGGCGATTTTCACAATATTGCTTCTTCCTAACCATGAACACGGAATGTTTCCCCATCTGTTTGTGTCCTCTCTCGTTTCCTTGAGCAGTGGTTTGTAGTTCTCCTTGAAGAGTTCCTTTATATCCTTTGTTAGTTGTATTCCTAGGTGTTTTGTTCACTTTGTAGCAATTGTGAATGGGAGTTCACTCATGATTTTGCTCTCTGTCTGTTGTTGGTGTATAGAAATGCTTGTGATTTCTACACATTGATTTTGTATCCTGAGACTTTGCTGAAGTTGCTAATCATTTAAAGAGATTTTGGGCTGAGATAATAGGATCTTCTAAATATACAATCATGTCGTCTGCAGTAGCGACAATTTGTTGACTTCCTCCTTTCCTAATTAAATACCCTTTATTTCTTTTTCTTGCCTGATTGCTCTGGCTAGAACTTCCAATAGTGTATTGAATAGGAGTGGTGAGAGAGGGCATCCTTGTCTAGTGTCAGATTTCAAAGAGAATGCTTCCAGTTTTTGCCTATTCAGTATGATATTGTCTGTGGGTTTGTCATAAATAGCTTTTATTATTTTGAGATATGTTCCTTTGATACCTAGTTTATTGAGAGTTTTTAGCATAAAGGGCTGTTGAATTTTGTCAAAGGCCTTCGCTGCATTTATTGAGATAATTATGTGGTTTTTGTCTTTGGTTCTGTTTATGTGGTGGATTACATTTATAGACTTGCATATGTTGAACCAGCCTTGCATCCCCAGGATGAGGCCTACTTAATAGTGACGGATAAGCTTTTTGATGTACTGTTCCAATCAGTTTGCCAGTATTTTATTGAAGATTTTTGCATCCATGTTCATCATGGATATTGGCCTGAAGTTTTCTTTTTTTGTTGAGTCTCTGACAGGTTTTGGTATCAGGATGATGTTGGTCTCATAAAATAAGTTGGGAAGGATTCCCTCACTTTGTATTGTTTGGAATAGTTTCAGAAGGAATGGTACCAGCTCCTCTTTGTACATCTGGTAGAATTTGGCTGTGAACCCATCTGGACCTGGGCTCTTTTTGGTTGGTAGGCTATTAATTGCTTCTTCAACTTCAGCCCTTGTTATTGGTCTGTTGAAGGTTTCAGCTTCTTCCTGGTTTAGGCTTGGGAGGGTGCAAGTGTCCAGGAATTTATCCACTTCTTCCAGGTTTACTGGTTTATATGCTTAGAGTTGTTTTTAGTATTCTCTAAAGGTAGTTTGTATTTCTGTGGAATTTGTGGTGATATCTCCTTTATCGTTTTTTATTGTGTCTGTTTGATTCTTCTCTCTTTACTTTTTTATTAATCTGGGTAGTGGTCTATTTTGATGATCTTTTAAAAAAATCCAGCTCCTGGATTTATTGATTTTTTTGAAGGGCTTTTTGTTTCTCTGTCTCCTTCAGTTCTGCTCTGATCTTAGTTATTTCTTGTCTTCTGCTAGCTTTTGAGTTTTTTTAAATCTTGCTCCTCTATCTCTTTCAATTTTGATGATAGAGTGTGAATTTTAGACCTTTCCTCACTTCTCTGGTGGGCATTTATTGCTAAAAATTTCCCTCTAGACACTGCGTTAAATATGTCCCAGAGATTCTTGTACATTGTGTCTTCATTCTCATTGGTTTCAAGGAACATCTTTATTTCTTCCTCCATTTCATTGTTTATCCAGTCGACATTCAGGAGCAGGTAGTTCAGTTTCCTTGAACTTGTGTGGTTCTGAGTTAGTTTCTTAATTCTGAGCTCTAATTTGATTGCCCTGTGGTCTGAGAGACTGATTTTTATGATTTCCATTCTTTTGCATTTGCTGAGGAGTGATTTACTTCCAATTATGTGGTCAATTGTAAAGTAGGTGCAATGCAGTGCTGAGAAGAATGTATATTCTGTGGATTTGGGGTGGAGAGTTCTGTAAATGTCTAGGTTTACTTGGTCCAGATCTGGGTTCAATTCCTGGATATCCTTGTCAATTATCTGTCTCATTGATTTGTTTAATACTAACAGTGGAGTGTTAAAGTCTCCCATTATTATTGTGTGGGAGTCTAAGTCTCTTTGTAGGTCGTTAAGCACTTACTTTATATACCTGGGTGCTCCTGTATTGGGTGCATATATATTTAGGATTGTTAGCTCTTCTTGATGCATTGATCCTTTTACCATTATGTAATGCCCTTCTTTGTCTCTTTTGATCTTTGTTGGTTTAAAGTTCATTTTATCAGAGATTAAGATCGCAACTCCTGCTTTTTTTTTGCTCTCCATTTGTTTGGTAAATCTTCGTCCATCCCATTATTTTGAGCCTATGTGTGTCTTTGCATGTGAGATGGATTTCCTGAATACAGCACACTGATGGGTCTTGACTTTTTATCCAATTTGCTAGTCTGTGTCTTTTAACTGGGGCATTTAGTCCATTTACATTTAAGGTTAGTATTGTTATGTGTGAATTTGATCCTGCCACTTTGATGCTAGCTGGATGTTTTGCCAGTTAGCTGACAGATTTTCTTCATTGTGTTGATGGTCGTTACCATTTGGTATGTTTTTGGAGTGGCTGGTACTGGTTGTTCCATTCCTTGTTTAGTGCTTCTTTCAGAGCTCTTGTAAGGCAGGCCTCGTTGTACCGAAATCTCTCAGCAATTGCTCGTCCATAAGGGATTGTATTTCTCCTTCACTTATGAAGCTTAGTTTGGCTGGATATGAAATTCTGGATTGAAAGTTCTTTTCTTTAAGGATGTTGAATATTGGCCACCACTCTCTTCTGGCTTGTATAGGGTTTTTGTGGAGAAATCCACTGTGAGTCTGATGCGCTTACCTTTATGGGTAACCCAGTCTTTCTCTCTGGCTACCCTTACATTTTTTTCTTCATTTCAACCCTGGTGAATCTGACTATTACGTGTCTTGGGGTTGCTCTTCTTGAGGAATATCTTTCTGGTGGTCTCTGAATTTCCTGGACTTGAATCGTGGCCTGCCTTGTTAGGTTGGGGAAGTTCTCCTGGATAATATCCTGAAGAATGTTTTTCAGCTTGGATTCATTCTCTGTGTTGCATTCAGGTACACCTATCAAACATAGATTAGGTCTTTTCTCATAATCTCATGTATCATGGAGGCTTTGTTCATTCCTTTTCATTCTTTTTTCTCTGTTCTTTCCTTCTTGTTTTATTTAATTGAGCTGATCTTCAATCTCTGATATCCTTTCTTCTGTTTGGTTGATTTTGCTATTGAAAGTTGTATATGCTTCATGACGTTCTCATGCTGTTTTTCAGGTCCATCAAGTAGTTTATATTCTTCTCTAGGCTGTTTATTCTAGTTAGCATCTCATCTAACCTTTTTTCTAGTTTCTTAGTTTCTTTGCATTGGGTTAGCATATGTTCTTTTAGCTCTGAGAAGTTTATTACCCACCTTCTGAAGCCTGTTTCTGTCAATTCATCAGACTCATTCTCCATCCATCTTTGATCCCTAGCTGGTGAGGAGCTGTGATCCCTTGGAGGAGGAGAGGTGTTCTAGTTTTTGGTGTTTTCAACATTTTTGTGCTTGTATATTCCCATCTTAGTGGCTTTATCTCTCTGTGGTCTTTGTAGTTGGTGAGTTTCAGATGGGGTCTCTGAGTGGATGTCTTTTTTGTTGATGATGAAGTTATTTCTTTCTGTTTTACAATTTTCCTTCTGACAGTCAGACCCCTCTGCTCTAGGACTGCTGGAGGTCCACTCCAGACCCTGCTTGCTGGGGGATCACCCATGGGGGCTGCAGGACAGTAAGGGTTGCTGCCAGTTTCTTCTTCTGTTATCTTACTCCCAGAAGGATACCCACCAGATGTTGGCCTGAGCTCTCCTTTATGAGGTGTCCCTTGGATATACTGGGCTCGAGGAGCTGCTTGAGGAGACAGTCTGTTTCTTATAGGAGCTCAAGTGCTGTGCTGGGAGCTCCATTGTTCCATGCAGAGCTGCTGGGCAGGTACCTTTATGTCTGCTGCAGCAGAACTCATAACTGCCTTTTTTCCAGCTGCTCTGACCTAGGAAGGTTGGCTTTATTTATAAGTTCCTGACATGCTGCTGCCTTTTTTCAGACTTGCCCTGGCCCACATGGAGTAGTCTAGTCACAGTCTCCCAATAGAGGTGTGCTGAGCTGCCACAGGCTCTGCCCAGCTGCTGTGGGAACTGCCTGGGTATTTGCGAACTGCCTTGGTAGTGGCGGATGCCCTTCCCCCCACTGAGCTGGACCATCCTGGGTCCTGCTGCACTTGCTGCGAACCTTTCAATTCAGAGCATTTCAGATTGCTTGTTTTGTGGGGGTGGTACCCACCTAGCCAGATCGCCTGGCTCAGCCCTTCCCTTTCAGTTGAATGGGCAGCTCTGTCTCCCAGGCATTACAGGCACCAGTTGAAACAGCCACCCCGATTTGTGTGATTTTTGTGCGCCAATCTGCAGCACCAGCCGTGCTGAAAGCTCATGGTGCATTTTGTCCTGAGAATCTCCTGGTCTGTGGGCAGTGAAAATTTATTTGGAAATGCATTGAGCCCTCTTCCTCTGTGTTGTTCTTGCTGGGAACTGTACTCCGGAGCTGTTCCTATTCAGCCATCTTGGATCCTCCCCTCTTGATTCTTAACATAATAAAACTGCAGGTAGAATTTTTATTCAATTTAACGTGAGAAAATATCTATATGTATATATGAACTATATAGTAGTTCATGTCGTATATATGTATATTGTTCATATGTATTTTTTTAGGATTATTAGTGTCACTGACTACTATTACTGCAAAAATGCTGAGTAACAAGCCATTCCAAAGCTCAGGGCCACAGAACAATAAACAGGAACTGGTCTCCGCCTCTCAGGTTTGTCTGGGGTTTGGGTGACTCAGGCTGGGCTGGGCTCAGCTTGGCTGTAAGACAAGGTTTCGGCTCAAGTGTGCACCATGAGTCTTTCATTTCTGTGAGAATATTTGGCTGCGTGGAGCACATTTCCCTCTTGGCAGTGAGGGAAGCTCAGGAGAGGGCTACCCTGAATATCTAGGTTTTGAGTTGGTGCTGCCATCCTACCCTTGGAAATTAGCCAAGTCATGTTACATGGTCATGACCAAAGTTAACGTGGCTGGGAAATTTGGTGTACTTCTGTGGGAGAAGCTGCATAACTCCATGCTGAGTGGTGGAGAGGCATATGGGAACGAAAGGCTGAGAACAATAGTGCTATCCGCTTTGATCACAGACTTAAATTACTTGAGTTGTCTTCTGTATTTCCCACTAACTTTCTGTGAGACTGTATTATGTCTGTGATTAAAAAGAAGAAAAGTATTAATTCTGTTCATATTTTAAGATAAGTCTATTTTGAGATTTTGAGGTCATCGAGATAACATTTGAAGTTAGTCTTTGTGTGTGGTTCTTTTGAAAATTCAAAATGCCACAGAGAATTAAACATAAATAATAGCATAAGAGAGCAGGCATGCATCTCTGCTTGCTCTTGCTCATTCAGCTCCTAGGAAGGGTAAGATCATCTTTCAGGCTGCAGGTTTATTATTTTTATGACACCCTCATCTTTCACTGCTTCCTTCAAATTCTTAGCTTGAGAATTTAAGGTTATTACATGATGAGATTTTTGTGATCAAATGGGTGGTTTTAAATGAAGCTTATTGTTCAATGAATGGGCTTAACAAAGTACACTCTGTGTCGAACTCACAGGCACTAGGATCACAGTGTAAAGTCTTCTTTTCTTTGTATGGCTTCAGGATGATTTTAATTACTATTTCTGGATGAGAAGAGAAAATTAATTATCTTTTTAAAAAATATGATGTTTATCTTCAAGTTTTCTCTCTTTGTTATTATTCCAGTGTCGGGGAAAGAGCCCGAAATTGAATGTAAGCTAATTGGATGGCCCGAGCATGGCAGGGGAGACAGGGATGGCACTGACATCAACCAGGGGCCTTTCATGGCAAATAACTTTGCTTCATCCAGAGGCTGTAGGTGAGACACAAAGTTCAAGACTGCAACACAAAAAACTGACAGAGCCAACCCCACATCTAGGGTGGAACAAGGCCAGGCTGGGACGTGGTGGGATGTGGCTCAGGTGACTGAGCACACGCATGCTGCTTGATCCTCAGTAAGCTGAAGGTTTGAAATTGCACCAGGAGAGTTGCTGGTTGTCTATAGCGCAGCTGAGTACTTCAAGTGCAATTGAGTTATCACTTCCTAGAAACTTTTGAAAGTTAGGTCATTGAATATTTTTGTTGGGTTATTTTCAAAATTAGAGATCATAAGTCCATATGACACAAACTCTGAGTTTCTCTCATTTCACTGTCCGTTTCATGGGAGGACCCAGACAATTCTTTCCTTGAGCATTTAGTTGGTGTGAGAAAGAAAAGCCCTTGGTGTTTTAAAAAACCACCTAGCAAAGCCTCGGGTTTACTGCTCTGAGGTCCACAAGCCACTGCACTTTAGTCACCACGGCTGGCTAAGTTCAGGATAGCTGATATGACAGTATCGGCACTGCATCCTACAGTGAGCTTGCACTCCCGAGTTTTCCATGCCCCGGACCACATTTCATCCCTAGGTGTTCTCCTTGAGTCATCCTGTGTTCATCAGTGAAATATCACAGGGTCTGAAATTTGAACGAATTATAATGTGATTCCTAATGAGGCCTGTTCTCTCATCTGCATGCAAACTATTTTATTTTAAAATAATTTATGTTTTTAAAGATGGTTCCCAAGCATTAAATAAGGTAATTTATGTAGCACTTCCTAGGATTGGCTCAGTGTCTTCCTGTCAATTTCACATCTGAAGTGAGAGAGAAAGGTTGAGTGATGAGCTGAGAGACTGTGGCCGAGTGACAAGGCAGGGTGGTGGTGATGAGGTGAGGGAGTGTGGCCGAGTGACAGTGCAGGCTGGTGGCGATGAGGTGAGGGACTGTGGCCGAGTGACAAGGCAGGGCGGTGGTGACGAGGTGAGGGAGTGTGGCCGAGTGACAGTGCAGGGCGGTGGTGATGAGGTGAGGGAGTGTGGCCGAGTGACAGTGCAGGCTGGTGGTGACGAGGTGAGGGAATGTGGCCAAGTGACAGTGCAGGGCGGTGGTGATGAGGTGAGGGAGTGTGGCCGAGTGACAGTGCAGGGTGGTTGTGATGAGGTCAGGGAGTGTGGCCGAGTGACAGTGCAGGGCGGTGGTGATGAGGTGAGGG